TTTTACCCCACTTTGTAGTTTTCAGTTTGATTCATTCAGATCGAGAAGCGGTTTGTTGATTTTAGATGATCATTCTAAAATCGCGACTGGGACCTAAGCTTTATTCGTGAAATGTTAGAGAAACAACTGCTGATTTAATCTGGTACAGATCTGCAAGACCGGAATGGCTTTGATGGTATCTCTGCACTACTCTACCAGGCACGTATTTGGTACATTATCAGCTACTTAGTCCTTCAGGTCATAAGGTTGGGCTCGGAGGTAAGCACGGTTTCGTAGCATACGCTGGAAAAAGAGACCGCGGCGACTGCTGGAGGACCGAAACTGGCATATTTCATCAAATGAATTCTGAGTAATAGACAAAACTATTTGACTCAGCAGGTTAGTAAGTACAAATTTGATTCAAATTCTTATTTACAGCTGTGACCCCATGAAAGAAGTGCTCTTGCCGCTGTGGAATCATGTGTCAGTTGTTGATTGTTACTGTAGCTACCTTTTCTGAAGACTTTTTTTTTTACTCTTGTGGCATTCATTCTAAACCCACAGGAACCCAGTTTGCTACAGTCTCTCACAATGTCACAGAGCGGACGCAGTTTATTTCATGAAATTCATATTGTTACTCTTACATTACAATATTTGAATTATTTTTGCTAAGGCATAGATTTAATTCCTCTGCAATTCTAGTCAATACAACTATTCTAAACCGTCGCATCTGATCACTGATACACTGCTGATACCCTCTAAATGAGATCAAGAAAGATTCTCTGTGTAGATGAAATGGGCACGTTCATATTACCAGGGTGCACCCGACAGTTTTATTTTTTCTCTTCCTCTATAGCCGGTTGCTCTCCTTCCGTTTTTTGCTTGTTCAGTTCGGCTTGCTCAGCGGCTAGTTCTTCCCATTTCTTAGCGTTGTACCTAAATATTAAGGTAATTGCACATTTGTATTCAACTTTATTCGGACAGTGCTGTACATGTTATCCCCTAATGCACGTAACTGTGAGTATAAGTATACATTTTTATAACTCCTGTCGTTATTCAACTGGATACAAATTTCCATATCTTCCCCCCCCCTAATAATGGCGTCTTCCAGGAAAAGATTTGAACGGTGCAAAGGTTCTGAGTAAACGTGGAGCGTGGAGAAAATAGAGATCTATAGACCCGATGTCTGCAGCAGAATAGTGAAAATTGGAAAAAAAACATGGTGATCAAGTATTGCTGGTCTCTCCTCCACCCCCATTCCCTGATAATGCATCGTGAACCACACAGCTTACATTTGATTTGCTAAAGGTCTCGGAATACCTCGCAGATCCCGAACTTAAAGGCAGCGCCCACGTTCATTCGATGTTCCCGCGCCCTCTCTGGATATCATAGCCCTCCCTAACTTAAGAGCAAAACATGGTGATCTTCACTGCGGACCGACCGCTATCCTCCCGCCTTTTTGAGATGCAAAACTAGTATATATTGTGTACTCAAATATGTACTAGTTTTGCATCTCAAAAAGGCGAGAGGATAGCGTCGTCCGCTCAGTGAAGAGTCGCCCGCTCCGCCCACCTTGCCACCATAGGGTTCTTTATAGGACATCCTACATGATTTTTCTGCTTTTTTCTTCTACTGGATCACGTATTATATGAGCTCCATAACTCATTATTCTTGAAAGCGGGCTCAGCCTTTAAAGGCTAAGCCAAAGCAGTTATGGCAGCCAGGTGGGCGGCATCCTCTTCACAAGCGGGTGGCGCCATCCTCTCGTACTTTCGAGCTGCGAAATTAGTACTTGCCGACAAAGCTACGATATCTGAGGAGGGCCTAGGAACATCAAATGAACGCGGGCGCTGCCTTCAAGAATCCACCATCGTGTGCCCTTAGCGTCCAGAGGAAGCATGGTAGCGAATGTCCTCTAGAAGAGATCCATAGCAGTCACCAAGTGAAGGATTTTGACCCTTCGTGAAGCGGGACCCGTTCGAACACCCGCAGGCACGTAAGAAGCAACTGATGATAATGTCCAGGAACAGAGGTAAAGAGTACGTCTGGCTTTTTCCCTTGTTCATCTATGTTACCCAATCTTCGCCTTCGTTTTTGTGATCAACTATGAAAGCTTCGAATTTACTTCAGCTTCGCGAATGGACAGACCGCTAATGGCCACCACTACCGCAATATCCCTTGCATGGCATGTGTGCCCAAACAAAATGTGCGGAAAAGAAAAAAGTCGAACTCACTCGCACTGATCTCTGAGGAAAGCTGCCTCAGGAATCACTTTTGCGATCAGTTCATAGCATGGTAGACATATTCCACGCATAAATCCGACCTGGAATAGAGTTTTACATAAAAATTCCTGAAGCTTTTTCTTCTTAATGAGATCAAATTCGAACCCGTTGATTATGAGCTTTCAGAAGCATTTCGTGCTAAAATCTCCAGATTGGAAGCCTAAGTGCATCGCCAGAAAAGCCTACTCCTGGCTTGAGACAAACGAGGTCATCGACGTTGTTGACATAGGGAACAGCATATTTTGGAGAATCGGGAAATCGTACTTGGCACGTCGTATTTGGTCGTTACAGAAATTTTCCGAGCCACAGAGGCATTTTTCGACCGAGTCTATTAGAAACCTGGGGAAAAAATGAGAGGAAGTCACGAGAACTTAGATGTTGAAAGGAATGATGATAGGATGGGTGGGGGGGGGAGGTCGAACGGAGGAAAAAATTTTAAGGGGTCATCTAACTCCACCATTTTCCCATTACAATGCTGGACGCTGTCCTAACAACCAGAGGGCTCCACTGGCTATCGGCATTGCTTTTACTTCTCGCGCTCACTCGAGCAACTCGATGAATAACCCACCCAGGAGGAGTGCAGGTGACACTTCGGTTTTTTTCCTACGCAAACATGAAAAATATGATTGACCTGCATTTGTGGAAGCTCATGAGCTTTATTACGATCCATCATCGGTATCGGTTCGCGTCCATTCAAACGTTCCGCGTCTCCCTGAATGAAAGGGGGGTATATTTTATGGAATATAGAGAGCCCTTCTGTTCCAGTAATCGAAACCTTTATCAACTGGAGCTCCAACCTGTTCGTAAAACTCCTCGAAGATAACCTTGACGGTTTCAGTTTGGATGTACCATGGTTTCGCCGAGGCAATCAAATCGCAGCCTGTCATCAGAATCGCTTGTGTGAGCCGCCTTAACGACATATATTAGTAGAAGTTTCACCTGAAACTCTATCTTGAACCAGAGGAGGTGGTTTGGAGATAGGACAGTTAGCATTTTGCTAATCTTTAATAAAGATATGTGTCCTGTCTTTTCCGAAGAACCTCCGACATCATTCTGTGTTCCCTCGATAGCCCTTCAAGTGCTCATGCACCTAATCTACCGGTAACTGTCATTTTTTTTCGCTCGTCATGACATGCTTTTTGATCTCTAAGGTTATTCAGAAAAAAGAATAGTACAACTCACCTGTGATGCTCATCGCGAAAGTCGTAGTTGCCAGAATCGACGATTTTGTTAAGCTCTGCCTTATTTGTGAAGAATAGCGCCAGATCTGTGGCCAGTATACAGTGCTTGATAAGCGACAGAGCTTGCTTGTACTCATTTGACGTCATGGATTTTAAAATATTGTGACCATCCTAAATAAAATGAAGAAAATAATTCTTGCTTTACCGTTGGCATTAAGACCATTCACAAAACGGACACAAAGTATGACCAAAAGATGTGAAAAAGTTTCACATCTTTCTGTGACAGCTCTATAGACACTTGAAGGTTGAGGAACTGCCTCATCGAACGGTTGTCACTTGGTTTTGCTACGCTTAGTACTTCTTGATTTACATGTGGTTTATTGCTCCTGAGTTCTTTTGAACCGGCCTGATATTTTGCGGAAAGGTGTACGAGATTTAACGGCGTGGAGTGGGGAGGGGGGAGCATTTTGCAATTTTGCTTACTTTTCCCATCAACGTGTCGGCCTATCTAGACAGCTTCTTCTCGAGTTGACAGGTTTTAACATGATGACTTGACTACCTTGTTCCAGCTTCACAAGAGTTCACAGGTTTCGCGCCAGGTGGAGATCTGTGTAAACCGGAATCAAGGAGCAATGGATAGCACAAAACTGCCCCCCCACAGCCGCGGTATCGGAAGTGGTCACCTACTGGCGTTCAAAGTCCATTACTTAGCTGCATCTCGATCTATCGGACGTTTGGCGACATTGCGTCCCACTGCTGGCGACAGCCACCTTTTTTGCCGCGTAGGCGACATGCGCCCACTGGCTAGATGCGGCATGAGTAAAAAACAAGTTGAGAGGTTTCAAATTTTCAAGCCGCTGCATAATTGTCCATCGAAGCGCATTGGCAAAATATACAGTAGCTGTAAAACATGCAGTTGTGTCATTGAGAGTATTTTACCGAGGAGACAAACGAAAGTGATTTTCTAGAAAAAAAAAGATAATTCTTGTCATATATAAATGAAGCTCCACATGCAAATAGCCTAAATGTGATAAGGTAACTTTCAACAATAGCAGATCTGAATCGAATCCAATTTACCACCTCTGGCGCGAAAATATTCCTTTTTTGCGACCTTGTTCCCACGCTCCACGTGAATGAGGCGGGAGTATTCCATGAAATTTCAGGGTTTATCTTGAAAGTAAACAAGAATAGCGAAGCCTTACTAGCTTCTGCAATGAATTCTGACCATTCTTCAATTTTAGCGCCATCAACGCCCTTAGCATTTATGCGCATTTCTTCGTAAATAGGAAAAAATGCTTTGTCCACGCCGCCAGACACGACAGAAAGCGCGCCTTTCGAGCACTCCACACCAGGAGATGCCAGAGGGCTGTCGGCATGCCCATCTATGCGACCGCACTAGGTGGCTTATACTTTTGTAGGCGTGTTCACATTTTTCTGCGCCAGCTGTAGTAATGTCTTTGTTCCAGACATGAGACAAGCATGAGCAATTGTGTTTAACGTAAATATGCGCCGAAAACCGCAGTGTTGCGCCGCAAGTGTAAGCAGTTACGTTTAAGCGTCAATTTAAGGGATTTCGGCTACACGCAAGTGTAATGGGTGGTGAGAAAACTGATCTGATTGAGCAAACTAGACATGATCAAAGTCGTGAGTGAACAAGTGGCGCTTGCTTCACTCAGACGACTTGATCATGTCACTGATTGCGTTTGCATTTTAAACACGTTCCGGACCGGAGTGACACAACATGTTTGTGTCGCAGATTTGCCTACAAATGCGGGTGTTTATTTACTTGACTTGCTCTTTTCTTTCATTACTAACGCGTAAAAATTGGCTAATCGGCTTGCTGGAGGTACATAACATGTACTCTCGCTAAGGACGAGTTGGGCGTGTCAGCCATCATGAGTGCTGTTGCTCGCTCAGAGCCGTTCTCTGCCTCTAAATAAACAAGCGCATGCGACAATAATGTAGGAAAACGAAATTAATACAATCCGAATGTGATACAGTCTTGCATTTGCTCGGCTTTAAACAGATGGTGGGGAACGAGTTTTAAGTAGCGCTGCCAAACGCAGCGCGCCTGCACAAGCCAAACACGTCGCACGCGAAACTATCTCTACAAGGGGGACGTGGGGGGGGGGAGACAAAAAAAGCTCACTTTTCTTAAATTGAACTTTCGCGCGCTATAAGTTAAAGTTCATATATTCTTATCGAACCATTCTTAGCATCCTAGCACATCTTATTACAGATCACTACCTTAATACTAAAAAACTACCAGCCAAGTCCTTCTGGAACGCAGCCGCCATCCGCAGAGATTCTGGACTGCGACCGAATGTGTGCTGAGATCAGCGAGATAGTCGATTTCTCCGCCACCGTAGACCACCCTATTGAACTCCGCCTGAACCGGATAATTGAGGGGATTCAGGTCAGGTGACCTATTGGATACTTTCTTCGTTTTTTAGGCTCAGCCGCCTTCATTCCAGGTAGGTGTTCTCCAATGCCCTTCGATTCCATGTGGTGGCACCCAATGCTGTAGCAGTACAAAGTTTCCAAGAAGGTACGGGCGACGACATGTGGGGAAGATATTCTTCACTTGAGTTGGTCCGGATCGTAAATCGCCAGCGCCTCCAGGTTCCAGCCCGGTAGTCCACGAAGAAAATATTTGGTCTATTTCCATTCCAGCGTACCAGGTTACTCAGCGTCCATACCAGCACAACCACCGCTCCTTGACGACTGGCGGTGAAGAGAGTCCTAGACCGTACCGACGTTGTCCGAAGCCTGCCCTCTAATGTTGCGAGGGTCTTCCAGATCGAGAGTACTATTCTCCAGGTAGCTATCCATGGGTGACTCCATACTAGAAGTTTCGCAGCTGTTTGGAGGTGACATGAATTCCAAAGGTCTTCTCCAGTCGGAGAATGAACTCATATTTTGTGCACTGAAGGCGATGGCCCGAAACGCCAGCTCCTGCTTATCGAGGAACATCTTGGGTATCTTACCCTCTGGTAGTCGTATCCACGTCTCTGTCTGGGCAGCAAAAACTTTGCTGATATGTGACTCAGTCGAAGTGCTTTTTTGCCCCCCCTGCTCTAACTATGAAGCGCATTAAGGAGCGAGATTACTGTATGAATTACGTGCTCTCTTGATGAAATGACCTGGAGTACGGCGGTCCGCAATGGTGTTAATATTTACTGACGCATAACGGATCCATACACTGCTGTAAAATGGTGACGGTCTGATTTGAAATGGGTGATGTTCCATTACAGACGTTGTGTAGATACTGGCCAGCGGCGTCATCATCGACTTCATGTAGGCGTTATTCTTTCCACGATGATCGAGATCATGACAAAGGCAGGAGACATATAGAGCCAGAGCCTGTAATTAACAGGTGAATGAGTTACTTCACTTCGAGAGCATCCCTTAGAAGGCACTAGTCTTCCTGTATTCAAGGCTCAGCCATGGGACCGGTCATTTACAAGAGATACAAATAGGCATCTATAGAGACCGGTAACAACGACAAATGCAGACGTGTTCAAGATTCCTCATTGAGAGGAAAGGCCCTTATTGGCACCCGGTAGGGCAGGGGCCCCCACTAGTGTTACGCAAAGAGAGAATTTTCTGACTGTTCAGCATTACTACCCCAGTCTTCCAATACAGGCCGCATCTTGATCGACTTTTTTCTACGGGCGCAAATTTGGGCTGAAACTTGGGTTCTAGGGGTAATTCGACCTCCTCTTCTCCCGAAACTGCCTGGCGCCCGCGCCACAAGCGTCGGCGCCAAAATGCCCTAAGTCACTGGCGCCTAAGGCGCGGGCGCCAGGCACTTTCAGGCTAAGTGGATGTGATATTCGTATTCAAAGGTCAAAGTACCGCCTGAAACACCTAATATTCCAGCAAATCCTGCCTCCTGTAAGAAAGGAAATCGATCAAGATCACAGGCCGTTTCTCGCAAGCAGGGGTAGTCAATAGTGGAATAGGCCGAAATTTTGTAATTACAGAGATGAATGTGTCTGGGCACAAACCTCCACCTGCGGGATAAACCAATGCTGAATTTCCGCTTTATTGGTTTTCCTTCCCACCGTCCGTCTATGTACAGCCCTGCTTATAGCTTCTTCAATTTTTCGGTAAACGGTCCTCTCGAATAAACGCCCATGCTCTGCAGCAAAGAAGCGCTGTCGTCACAGTGCCTGCGTCGACATCCCGCCTCAGCTCTCAATTCTTTTGCAGAACCTTGGCAAACCGGAATAAAGGACTTAACAAGTGCGCTTTGATTTATCTCTGTAGAACCTCCTTTTGGAAGCAATACGACATCACCCTCATACACCACTCACACTCCATATCCCTGAGACGCGGTGGGCGTAGCTGCATACTCATGAACACGACGTAAGACGTGTTCTTTGCTGCTTGTTCCAGACAAAATTGGTGCGCATGAAGTTCATTTACTTGATTGCACACGAAAATATCCCACAAAAAGCGCGATTTATTGCAGTATGTTCAAATGGAGAACGGAGCACATAAAACCCCCATCGCATCTAGGAAAATATGACGCCTCTCGCATTCCCCGAACTCCTTCGAATTGAAAAACGATACCTCATGAGTAGTAAAGAGATCTCCAGACGTATGGTGCATGAGGACAACAAACATCGCGTGTGCCACAGACCATCCATGAGCCCAGTTGTGGTAGGCGACTCGTCTGTAGTTTTTCCGTACTGTCAATACAAATCGAATGAGCTCGTCACGGTCGTATCGGCTGAAAATGGTCACTATCGTAAGAGTTTTAATAGCACGCTCCGCCGATAAACTAAGGCAGGTTCCTTCATACCGTGCAGATGGCTCAAGCAGGCCAACGTCCGCAGCTATGCTGCGCTTTGAAATGTTAAAAACCAGCTAGCAAAACGCAGGTACTCAAGCATGTTAGCCCATTTGCGCCGATAGGCCCATGCCGCGCCTCCAATGACCGTGTCGTTTGTGAGTACTTCCATGCGCTCTCGCACCGTCGTTTTCTAGCCGTCTTTATCGTCTCTCCTACCTGGTGTTCGCCACCTTTTGCGCACATTAAAATTTGATCTATCGAGCCCACTTACGCTCGTCCGGTGGATGCATATACAATTTGCAATAGAGGGTCTTATTCCGGGCGCTTTTTCGTGCTTCCTTCTTCTTCTTCAATAAGTCAACAAACGCACGGCAATTCTATTTTTGAACTGTATTACCTATGAACTGTGGTCGCGGGAATTGCCTTTAAACGATGGAGCTTAGGGGAGGAGGAAGTCTTAGGAGAGCGGGGTGGGTGGTGGAATGTGTCTCTAAAGCCGTGCGATTGTAGCGTGGCACATTAGGCCGTTCTGAAATCTTACTCCAGAAGGGTTTAGGGGCTAATCAAATATAACCTCTTTGAATGCGCCGAACTTCTGATTTTTTTTCTGCACCCCCTCGTTCGTATCCCATTCTGTGGTCATTGTGACCCCACACATTCCATTTTTCAAATGATAAGTGGTTCTTCTCCCCTGGAGTTCCCTTCCCTTGAAAAGCCCATTGCCAGGCCCGCCACATGTTTCCTGCACATTTCGATGCTCTGCCAGCCGCTCTCCTCTATTTGTGTAGTCATGGTCACATGGTCTCGTACCAGGACCATACAGTAAACCCTCAATGGCACTTCACCCCGAAAAGGTATGAACTTTTAGGTCTTATGGTCCAAGATTCAGGGCACCTCTAGCAGAAAAGCGTCTCATAACATCTCTGAGTACTTCAAGAAAAAAACTCACAATTGCTCTTGGAAAAGCGTTTTGAACATTGCAATAGCATAGAGGGGTTTCTCAAGCTCAGACATCCGTAAATAATTGAACTCAAATCTGAAAAGTAATTTGTCAAAAAATTACATTGTATTTTTGTGTGTAGTTCATAATTGTAATTAATTGTCCGGAAAGTTCTCATGCGTTTGTGCAACCAATTTTTTGTACAGTTCATGCAGATTAAAACTCATTTGCTAGGTCTTCAGTAGACATCCTGCAAGAATTTCTTGCGCTATCTGATGGTATGATTGCCGTTTCACAATTGCTTTTTTCAAGGTTTTTTTTCAAGATTTTTTCAAGCATGTGAAAAGAGCACTTCGGACGATTTTTTCTTCGACTATAAATTGGGGCAATCCGCAATCGAAACAGCTCAACAAATTAACCAGGTGTGGGGGCCCAATAGTGCTAGAGAAAGCACTGTGCGGCAATGGCAACAATTTCGTTCTGGAGATTTCAGCCTTGAAGATGAACCTCATAGCGGTCGAAAGCAATATCTGACGAGGATTTTAGGGGGATTTTGGAGGCTGACCCATCCCAAACAGTTCGAGAGATAGCAGAAGAGCTAGGCGTTGGCAAATCCACTGTTGCAGATGGTCTGGAACGCATTGGGAAGGTGAAAAATCGACATTGGGTGCTCACTAATCGAGTGACCGCAGAATCGGCACGTGGTTCCTTCTGCATTGCTTTTGCGTAGCAGAAACGATCTGTTTTTGGACCGAATTGCCACCTGTGATGAAAAATGGGTCATGTATGATAACAGGAGACGTTCCGGACAGTAAATGGATTCGACTGAACGCACGGGTAATTTTCAAGCGACCCTCACCGAAAAAGATTCTGGTCAGGTTTGGTGGTCACGGGTGGTGTGTGATCGATATCACTTTATACCGAGGCAAAGCCATTAAGGAACTGCTGTGAAGAAATCAACGAATTGTAGGGAAATTTATTGTTCAGATCAGCCAACACTTATCAAAAGAAGAGTCCGATTCTTTGCTGACAAAAGCAGCCACAACGTTTCACAATCACTATCATAATTGAAAGATTGGGGGTTGATAGTTCTACTTCACGGCCATAATTCTTGACTTTCGCACGACTATCATTTTTCTAGATTTTCATAATCCTTGCTGGAAAATACTTCATCAAAAAGGACCATGCAAAAAAGCGTTCGTGGATTTCGTGAGTTTTCGACCACCCAGTTTTTTAATTTGATGGGATTTCTCGACTGATGATACATTGGCAAAAGTGTGCTGATTCGAATGGTGCCTATTTCGATTAAATCCGATGAGTATTAAAAAGTTACGATCGTTTAAAGTGAAACACCCAAAACGCTGAGAACTTTCCGGACAACCTAATAATTAATTGCAATTTTTCGTGTGATACATAGCATTTTGAATCTGAAACTTACGTCTCCAACTCCTCAACTCGATCTTTAATTTCCATTTTTTGTAACTTCGCCACCTCGTCCTTGTTACAGACACTGTGATAGGCCAAGACCTCCAAGGCTACGCGATATTTCTGCAAGTGATTGAAAATATTGGAATCTATTTTTGAGCTAGCCGTTTTTTACCTGCTCAGATCGTCGAATTTTATCGTAGAGCTTGGCATGATGGAGCGCTAAACCGCAATAGACGGCGAACATTTCGAAACTGTCCTCGTCCGATTTTGTAAACACACCTTCACGCTTGTTCACCATCTGTACCACACCAATAACGCTGCAAAATGGCATCATTTCTTCAGGGAGATTTATTATGAAAACTGGACCTCAAGGACTCGGAATGAGCTTCATATCTTGTGGGGTACTCTACTGGTTTCTTTACGCTCTGTGGAAGTGTGATGTCGCAGATCATTTGATTCACTCATGAATTAGCGAATCGTTTATACTTTGCGATAGCGATCCCTAGCATCCCGAGCGAAAGTGGAGATATCGGTCTGAGCGTCTGCCCAACCGGTCCCCAGGCGTCTGCCGCGTCATACATCTGCCAGCGTCTCGAGGGTTAATGAAAGCATAGAATAATCAATATCTGCCAGCGCGCCTAATCCACTCTCTGCTACCCTCCTATTTCCCCATAGCTCTCTATTCCCGGTCGTTGGTGAACGCTGGTGGACGCTGGCAGACGCTAGATCGATATCTATACTTTCCTAGTCGCTGACGCTGTCGGACGCTCGGAACGCTAGTGAACCTGGCAGATTGGTGGATGCTGCCGCAAAGTATGAACGCAGCCCTACGTTCGGAGACTTCCTACCAGCATCAGTAAAAAGTCTCGAGCATCCCGGAAAAGCAGCTAATTTGAGCGAACAAATAAGCCGGATGGTGGGGTAGGGTTGCAGAACTCCACGCCAATTTGCAGGACATGCTTGAAGTTTGGGACTTCTTGAACAATTTCTGTAGCAATAAATGTGAAGCATTCTGTCTAAGACCAATTAATAACTGTGACTTTCATGAGCTTTACCTTCCGCGTATGAAAATTGGCATGCAGAGGATCGTCTTGGTGGTGTATCCGGTTTTTGAATCAACTTCTGGATTGAATCGATTATCCTCATAGGCATCTTCGATATTCAGGCCTTCACCGGTAGATGCCACATGGCCTGCAATCCCTCGATCCATGCTGAATCTGAAATTCCAAACGGATTACATAGCACACTTCTTCATTCAGCTGATGTGAAACCTTGGCATTTATACCGGTCGAGTTGTGATATTGCAGTACAGGCGGGATGTTCCGTACAGTACCTACACAGTTCATGGAGGGGGCCCTACTAGACCCAAGTAAGTGGCGTACTTGGGTTTAGTAGGGTCCCATTAGCGGTAAGTGGCGTGGTTTGGCTTGATGGGGCATTAAATGGTACTTAACGAAGTTGGTACAGGGCACCGTTGCCACCAGACCATTGAAGTCCTACGACTTAAAGGCAGTTTGGCACGATAAATCCTCCAGGCGACTAGGATCAATACTCCTGGCAGG